TGAAATCAGCAGAAAATTGGAGAAAAACTTGCCCGTCGCTTTGGGGTAAGAGAGCGCAAAAGCTAATAAAATATGTTTAGTAGGCAGGTCCTTTTGGGTGGGGTAGTTCGGGGCACAATTGTGTACCGTCCCCCGGATCGAGTTTTGCGGAACACAAGAACGGACATCTCTCAATACTAATGTAGTGAATCTAATTGCGGAACTGTTGCAAAAATGTGTCTGTATCTAATGAATAACGTTTTCTTTTTTCTCTTTGTTATCGGTTTTATTCACCACTTCACATCAATGAACTCGTATATATCTACAGGGTGATTTGTTGGAAGTAGAATTAGGACAGCCGAAATTATATTCTACAGGACCGCGCATTTCGTAGTCCATAACATTTTGAAATGCATTTAATCATAATATGCAGGATTTCAAGTCCTTTTTGTACTTGTAGTTTCAGGAATTATGTAATAGGCACGTTACCAAAATGGAACAATGAACTTCATGGTGGTCAATATATCGATTTCTATTTTATTAGATCTCATCAGCACGTCGCAGACAGTTTCTAACAGAACATAGACTAAGTCTACGTGCAGTCCTGAGATCGTGTTTTGTGAAATCCTACAAACGGCGCGGTAAACGCCATCTGTAGTACAATGCTACATATAGATGGATAGTGGCGTAACTCACCACATGTGATAGGCTTGTAACTAAAATGGAACTAAGAAGTTCATGGTGATCTTCCTACCGAAACTGATGGAATCCCACAAGATCGAAATCGCGATTCGCACCTGCCATCATGAACTTCTTTGTTCCACCACTAAAAAGTCTTTAACATAAACACTTGTTTGACACATACCTCGACTTCTTCCATCTTTTTAACATGAACCAAATTTTCGGTTTTCTCTATATCTCCTTTACGAACAGTAATTTAATGTACTACTTAACTAACCTAACCTAACCTAACCTAACCTAACCTAACCTAACCTAACCTAGCCTAACCTAACCCGGTGAAACTTGCGCCATGCCACTTTGCCGAACTTTCCCTTCCTTAATAAACCAATCTAACATGATAAAACATAATACAATCCACCCCAAGTCAATCTAGCGCAATCTAAGCTAACCTAACCTAACCTAAACTAACCTAACCTAACCAAACCTAACCCGGTCAAACTTGCGCCATGTCACCTTGCCGTACTTTTCCTTCCTTAATAAACCAATCTAACATGATAAAACATAATACAATCCAACCCAAGTCGATCCAGCGCAATCTGAGCTAACCTAACCTAACCTAACTTGAGCCCCCTTTAACTCCTAATATGCCTATTACTACCCCTTGATATCTGAGAAAGTATCCTACCAATTCATTTCGCCTATTTCTTATTGAATTCAATAATGCCTTCTCTGTTGTCTAATACCTCCTCTATTCTGCAACGGCTACCGGCTAAATAATTTTATTTTTTATGTAGTTATTAGGTATCTATATCTTTACAAGAAAAAAAGTGTTTTTTCTGTATAATGTTTTCAATCTGTTGCACAACAATAACCATCAGTCGTTATTCATAATGGCTTTCGCGTTGTAGATTCTGGCTCGCTCTCGCCACTATTTAGTTTCCACAAAAAGCAAATTATCGGGGTTCGTTATTTATTACAACGGTATACCGATCCGTTCGAGCGTGCCAAAACGCCACGTGAGCAGTCGAAAAATTTTTGAGTCCATTCAACGGTTCGACGGTCCGCCAAACTTTTCTTCGGAGCAAGTTGAGTGTGGAAGAATCGAAATTTACTGAAGCTGGCGAGCGCGCTGGCCTTTTCATTAAAATTTCTTGCCTTTTACGTGAAGAAGAACAACCGTATTATAAGGACCTCACTTTGCTACAATTCGTCAGCCGATGGTGGGAGGTGGGTCATGTCAATTCAGTCGAAACGTCGATAGGTCCTCGTGCTATTGACGCCAATTTGACGCTCGAACGCACGCATTAACTATTCACTTCGTTAACTTTTACAAAAAAAAAAGTAGTTTTTCCTTTTTACTTTCAAAAAGCTAACAATTTGTTAAAAAGTTTTGTAGTAAAAAAACAGTAATAAAATAAATCACTGATTAAAGCAAATCAACGGTAAAATCGATCTCCAATTTAGAGTCAACATCAGTTAAATTTGTTATTTAATTCTAGAAGAATGTGACTCAACGGGGATTTCCCGTTACAACCTTTATAATATAAGCAATCCCACCATATGCCTTATGGGGTTCGATTAGGCAAATGTATAGGACTTTTTTTAGACAAACTTGCGGTTATTTACCTAAAAGAACTCCTTGTTTCACAATTATCAGGTGGTATACTCCGACTAATTCTACGAACGAGACAAGACACCCTTTGGCCGCCTTATAGGGATCATACGAGACTGAATGAATCCTAACTACCCCCCTTTTAAAATTTTATCCTATTACTGGGGATGAAATTTGGGTTCATCATTATGAACCTGAATCCAAACATATGCAATGATACAAAAAAGGCACACAGCCACCCAAAAAGTTTAAGGTGACACAGTCGACTGGGAAAATCATGGAGACAGTCTTTTGGGACTCAGAAGGGATCCTGTTGATGGATTATAAAGATAAAGGTGCCTCTATAACCCGAGAATACTATTCTCCAATCCTAGATCGGTTAAAGGAAGCAGCCAAAGAAAATAGAAGAGGAAAATTGACCAAAGGTGTCCTGCTTCTGCAGAAGAGCCGTGTTGTGACGCCTGCCTCAGTAGAAGGTGGACTTCAAAATTTTGGCTCACCTACCCTACAGTCCTGACCTAACTCCCAGCGATTATTACTTATTCCGAAACTTGAATAAGTCTTCGTGGGAAGAAATTTTTAAGCGACGAAGATGTGAAAGATGCAGTTTCGACGTATTTTTCAGTCAAAGACCAGACATTTCTTTTTGAAAGTATGTATATATAAGTTAATTGAAAGATCGGAAAAATATAAAAGGGTAGCAGGTGGATATATTGAAAAAGAAAAATAAATTCGTACTTTTAGTTCCACTTCTTACCCCCCCCCCCATTCCGCGAACTTAAGAACATCCCTTCGTACGTGTATAATATGCTTCTTATACTTTTTTCTTTCACGTCCCGTACTATATATATTATATTCCCACATCAAAATTTCTTACCGAAAATAAAATCAAATAGACGAATAATACTACCTAAAAATACCTGCTTCAAAGTTCTAAAGAAAAGCAATATGTTTAGAGATAAATAAATGTTTTTCCGTGGGCTTTACATTACAAAACAGGATTTTCTTTTGAGGGACCGTCGGTTTTTTCTTATTTTTCTTTGGCTCGGTCTAATATACCCTCGCCTCCACATGCTCATTTTCTTCTAATGCACTACATCACGATCTTTCGCAAAAGTATATATTTTATCCGAAAATTGGGATATATGTCTCGAGTCAGAGCTTCGAAAGGAAAAAAAATCTGGCTACGGAAGATTTCCGGCAGATATATTATTTAGACAGGAGAAAGAAATAAGAAACTTCGGCGGATTAGTATCATCGACTTATTAGAAATGGAGGAAACAGGAAAATGGTACAGAATATAAAGCAAACAGATTTAATTTTATATTTATATAATACATGATATAATTGATCGACAATAGAGAGTGACACTATCGGAGAATGACCTAGTTTAATCTCATTTATTAAAATCAGCTCCTATTACTAAATATCCGATAATTATATAGGTAAATGTAGGTGCGGGTCAAAGTTCACATCCGGTTACACAGGTCACAGAATGCAGAATAAAATTTAAAGCATAATTGACAAGTTAATTAAAGTTATTTTCTTTCCTAAACGAAAAACAGATCGAAAGATATATTTTAACCGTTTTTGCTTTTCAAATTTAAATTTTCATATAGTTAAAACTTTTCTTTTTTTTTATTAATCGATTAAAAATTGATGTAGGTACTTATAGGTACAAATAATACTAACAATTTTTTTACTAGTTGATATTTAGTAACATGCGGTGCCCTCTCGTGAAGTATAGATAAAATATATGGTTTCTAAGGGTTGAAATATGCGGTGCCCTCTCGTGAAGTATAGATAAAATATATGGTTTCTAAGGGTTGAAATGCTGAAACCCTTATATCTAAATAGAGTATTATCGCAGCTTGCTGTTAGCTACCCTGTGCCTGTAAACCTTATTCAATTTTCTAAAAGTCTACGCTAGGGTGCAGTGTATGACATACATATATCAAACTTTTAATAATCATTTTATTATTATTTTTAAATAAAAGTTCTCTAATTTTCCCAGATGTAGAGAAATTACAACCAGGTTAGTTAAAAGTTAGTAGTAAAAATTAATTCTTAGTACTGAAAAGACACTTGAAGAAAATCGCAGTAAGAAAATTAGGAAATAAAAAGAAATTTATCTGACTGATTTTTGCATGGGGTTTAATATTTGATGTTATAGGGCGCTATGGAAGTCAATAAAAAATAGGCGAAATATCTTAGTAGGACTCCTTTTTTAGACATGAAGAACTAGTTGAAGTGAAACTTCGTTATCGACTATAGGAGGGAAATTTACTAGGGTATAAAACCGGAAAGTGTAACGTCACGCATCACAGCGTCACGTCACGCGCCATGTGTGGCCCCTGGTGGATATATCTAAAAGGAATCATTTTAAGAAGCTTCAGAAGCTAACGTGTTGGTAGCAATCAATAATCCGAAAATTGCTAAAATGCAATAGTTTAAATCAATCTTTGTTTTCAAAATACTACTATAATATACAATCTAAAGAAATTTTACTTTTTACGCATGAGATAAAGGTAGATGTTGATTAGGCTGCTATTGACCAATTGGATGCAGGTCGTCCTAATTTTCGAGAAATTCCAAGCACTCTTTGCCTGGAAACTTTGTGAAAATGACGATCATGATAATGGTGATGTAGCAGAAGCATTTTGTCAAAAAAAAAAATCGAAAGTTTAAAATATATTTATTAAAACTAAAAAACAGAGCTGCATATAGACACATTTTTGAGCTAAAGCTACGTCCAAAACACTATTTAAGCGAAGGGTGACTAGATTGTACACATGAAAAAATACATACGTCGAAGTCTTTATTTACATAAACGGAAAAGTCAGTGGTTATTATATAATTATAATTTTTTTTTAATATTTTCCTCTAAGCTTTTTTTACTTATATGAATAATTTACAAATGGTTGCCTTGTCCTCTCTTTTCGGTGTTTAATAAAAATAATGGGGGAACGTCACTGGAAACGATTAACTAATAAATTATCCCAAGAGATAACAATTATTATTAATATCATTATTACTATAATAATAGTGTTTCTAACATAAACAATTACGAGCAGTCTTTCGTACATTTTGATTACACATCTTATCCGTTTGAGTTTGTTTTATGGCACTTTGAAATATAGGAATTGAAACAGAATAGAACAAAACTTTATGGGCTACAGCGTCTGTTTCGGCCATGATGGCACCCATCAATAAAATTAATTAGATTTTTAATATTTTTAACTGTTGCATTTCAAAGTTTAGCGGAGTTTTAATTTTCAATTATTATGCAAGATATGGAGTAAAATGTCGAAATGTTTGACTTTTGGTCCCAAAGAAACGAAAACTGGGGGACAGCTTAAATGAAATATATAAATGTGAACAGAAATTGTAAAAATTCTTAATCATCGTCAGCATACTTGATTTCGTTTAAAATATTACTATCGGAGTTAACAAACTTTTCTAGTTTTGTCTCTTTCTCTTCCAATACTGATGACACGTCTCCTGATGATGTCCTGCGGGACTTTTTCAAATTAGAAAGTTCAATAAATTGCGGCGCTTCTTTAGAGATGCTATGTCGCTTAATTCTTTTCTGTTTGTCATTTAATTTTGGATTACATTCACTCAGTATATTGGAATCCACGTGTTTGCCATTTTTGATTGTGGTGGTGTGGACCGGGGCCATGACGTTTAGATTAGATCTTCTCCTAAGGGTAGCAGTTATCTCATCCGGCGATTCCTGGTTACTTCCTGGATCAACGAATATTTTATTTTTCGCTGTGGTCTCCTCCAACTCTTTCAAAATCTCACCAGATTCGTCCAAAGGTGGAATCCACACCAGGAAAGCAGGATCCATTCCTAAATACGAACCTGCAATCAGTTTAACATTGATGGCTTTTAGGAATTTAGGAAAAGTTTGATAACAACCTGGTGCTGCTCCTGCGTTGGTCACATTGTAGTCGTAATAATCCAATTCCAGATCAGTTTCCTGGCCAGCTATGGAGAACTCTGAACCGAGAGGTCCTGCAAGGAGCTTCTCCCTATTTTGCTTTTCCTTGCTTTCCTTCTCGTTTGTATGTCTGATTTTTGCTCTGCTCGTATTGCTCAATGCAGGAGAGTAGCAACCCTAGAACACAAGCAAAGAACACTAGTCATGATACTGCCCCAGCAAAATGGAAATTATTATTTTAAGTAGCTAGTGTCCAAAAGTGCTCAGGTGAATGACGATACCTCATTGAGTGCTTCAAAAATGCAAGGTACATTGCCAGTTGGATTGAGATACCATCTCATATATAATTTTTGAATTAAAAGTAAGCCAGAGAAAACATTTGTATTGTAAGAAGTCTGGACTGTTTCACGTTGGGGGTGTAATTATTGCTTAGATTTTGACAATTCTTGAAAGATGATCACGCATGCATGGTCTGTAATTGGAACTATATTTTTTAGATTGACAATGCTATTGAATCCAAGAAGCCCATAATCATGGAGAAAGTAAATGAGAGGCGATGATGTGATGAGATGGTATTTTTAAAGTATTAGTGCTTGAAATAGATAATGTGCCAAGTGCTCTCTCTTTCTGTCTAAAAGGTTACAATTATACTTCACCGGATCACTTTTAGAAAGCGTCTTCGCAAGAACGCTCACTTTTGTTAAACCATTTGCACTGACATTACTAAGTCTTCTCAATACTTTTGCTTTATCCAGTCTGGTGGTAGGTTTCTCTTCTTTTTCCTTTGTGTTATCCTTTTCCGAAGAACTCTTAATGGTCATGGTAGACGATCGCGTCAGCACCTTGGAGTCTTCTAAATTTGGAGACACCGGAAGACTTACTGTCGCTTCTTCCATCTCACTGACCGTGGATGTTTGAGGAAGACCAGTGGTTGTGGTCTCTTCCTGAGCCAATGTTAACGTACTACTATCACTTAAGGAATCTTCTCCTTTACTAGAAAGAAGGAGAAGAAGGTTCAGTGACTTTGGTATACGTAAACTTCGATAGAAATTTTCAAGATACTCATTGAGTTTGAATAATTTGGGCAGGTTCTAACAATTACAAAACTAAAGCGAGATATTATTACTTACGCTAGCGTAACTTCAGTTTCATGAAACGTTTCGCAATCCATCGATTCTCTAAGTCTGATATGTTTGTTCCTGGAGGTGATATTCGTACGTAGTTTAGTTAACGAAATAACTTCGGATATGAGTGTATTACTTGAAGGAACTCTAGTACCGGCCGCAAAGTTCGTCGCTGACCCTAAAATCGAATCGATTTGTGAGCGTCAGCTTTTTATCAGTTTACAGGGCAGTAAAGTTGCTGTTTTTTCTCGGTAGATTTAGTTTGTACCTGAGGGATCGGTCAGCGAGTCTTGATCGTCCGACTTGGCAATTTGGTATTTCCTATATCGGATCATGTACTGAATGCCCAATAAGAAAGTAGCGAAAAGTAATCCGCTTAAAAGGAATATCGCTGCAATGTGCACTGCCGTCAATTTTAATACCCTTACAGCTAGGAAACCGACGTGTTGGGCAACGTCGGTCCGTTTATTATCCGATAAGGAAGCTTCTTAAGGAAAGAAAAGAACAACTTGTTACTAAATGCTGCAGGTGCAATAATTGTACTTAGGTGGTATAAATTGATGAAAAGAAAAGTTTACCAAGTTGAACCGCTTGCACTAGAAACCGCCCATTGCATGTTGGTTCCCTAGCGACTCTAGCGCTAGTGTAGAACTCCAATAGAAGATTCGACCCTGAAGAGTTGACAACAGGAGGTGAAGAACTTGTAGTATCAGTAAAGTATGCGATAAGGTTTGATGATAACGCTGTGCCGTCTCTTATCTTCAAGTACTGGGAATCGCAAAGAAGTCGTACGTGTTTTATTCTCAATTCTATGATACAATTTTCGTCAGCCTAGTGATGATGCAAAATTGCGATTGAAAGATTACAATGTAAAGCATTTTCACGGTTACCTACCTGTATTTGCCAGAAGTTTTTGCCGGGGCAACTTTGCGATGAAGCTTCCAGAAATCGTTGACTTTTCGCCTTCCCCAGGTGTACAAAACAGCCACAACGACAGTGAGTACCAACTTCCTCTCTTATCTGCGGAATGTTCGGTATTTCGCTTTTGATATCGCCATACCAGCATTCCACGGCTTCTTCGGAATCAATATAACACTTCTCGGTCTGTACAGCTGGGCCCTTCAACAATTTAAATGTACCATGGAATTTGCTAACCGTACACACTATAATTAGGTCGTCTACTGTTAGGTAATACTACAAGGCATTTGATCACGGATAGCACTTAATAGCACCCCTAAATATCTAACGTTTATTTTTTATGAATAGTTGGAAAGGTCCTTTAATGGCGGACAATTTTATTAGATCCGAAAGAAAAATATGCATTAGAATATAAAGAAATAAGTATTTTTATTGTTCGGGTTCGGTTTCTGGCACTTTTTCTTCAGCAGTCTCTTCAGGACTCGCAGTATCGCCCTCTTGTGTGACTTCGACTGACACTCCTTCTTCAGTTTCTTCTTCTTCCCCAATATGCTCTTGTTCGTCGGCAGGAGCCGTTGTAGTCTGTGCTGAAGGTGTTTCCTTGGTCGCTGAAGGTGTTTCTTTGGCAGCTTCTGCAGCTTCATCGACTGCTGGAGGAGGCGGTGGAGGTTCTTCTTCAGACTCTTCGGCTGCCCTCTCGGTCGATTCACTCGTATAGAATGTCTCCTCTTCTTCCTCCTCCTCCTCTAAGATCATCGTCTTACTGGACGCAATTGTACTTTCCACGACAACTTCTTCCTCCTCAACGGCCATGCCTTCTTCGGCCTTCTTGGTTACCGTCTTGGGCGCTTTAGCTTTCAAAGCTTCTAAGCTCGGTCCTATACGCGTAGCGACGGTTTTTTTAACAGGGAATTTGGATTTTGGCCGTGGTACCAGTCTTGGTACAAAACCGAGATCGCCTTTGGCATAGACACTTTTACCAAGTGCCTTTGCGTCGCAAATGCTTTCCAGAGAGTCCCGCTTGACCACCAATTCTTCTGATAACAGACTAAGGAGCGTGTTGAGTAGATCTTGTCGCTTGGCGATCTTCAAAGCCTCGTCTTCTCCAGGTGCCGCTTGGATTTGAAGAAAATCCTTAATGGCCAGTACCGCTCTACTTTTAGTGAGTTCGGAAAGGACCATTTTACTTTTGGCATATTGTACTTCGGTTTTGAGTTCGTTGTTTTCGCATCTGCTGGCGTGAAGGTTTTGCTCCATCAGCAGAAGGTTTTTGTGCATCAGCTTGTTTTCTTCGTTCAAGATTTCCAGTTTCTGTTTGGTTTCGTCGAAGAGTTTCTGATTCAGGATGTTCTTTTTGAGCGTTGCCGACATTTCTTCGTGCTCTTTGGTGAGCCGTTCTATCGTTTTACGATGTACCCTTGATTGAGCGAGCACTATACGTTTTTCTTGTTCTAATAGTTCGGCAGCATTCTTCGCTTTTGTACTATTCTGTTTATGTTTGAGATTTTCGTCTGTTAAACGCTGATGCGTTTCTAGCATAACGTCAAGTTCGTTATTGATTGCGATGTTTTCGCGGATCATCCTATGTGTGGTGGCAGCTATTCGGGTTTCGGTTGTGTTTTGAAATTCCGTTGAGAGTTTTCGCAACCTCTCCTCCATCTCTCTCATTAGAAGATTCTTGCTTACTATGAATTTTCGCTCTACTTCGTACAATTCTCTTTTGTGACGGAGTTCTTGCTCTTCCATATCTCTTTCTTGTTTTTCGTATTTCTTCATCAGTTCGTCCCTCTGTATTCTGAATTCTTCTAGGGCGTTTAGTTTGCCTTCGAGCAATTTTATTTCGGAATTGAGCATTTCGTGCATTTCTTTGTATTCTTCTTCCATGTCCGCTATTTTCTGGAGAAACTCCTTAGTCTCTTTGACGTGAGTTTCTTCCAGTCCTTGGTAACTTTCTCGCAACTCGGCGATTTCATCGTTTTTCTCTTGGAGCATCCGCTTCAAATATATAATGATGTCGTCGCCGTCTTCCTTACTTTTTTGTAGCTGTTGTAATAACTCTTCGTTTTTCTCTTCCAACTCCTGAGCTTGTGTCCTAAGTCGTGCTAGTTTTCTGTTCAGGTCAGTGATGGTCAACTCATAAAAGGTTTTATCCACTTCTGACAATCCCAAATTGGTCTCCTTCTTCTCCTTTTTACCTTTACCTTTTTTCTTACCCATTGTAAAAGATTTGTGTTAACTAAATTTTTCGATTGTTCGTTTGACAGTAAATAAACTGTAGATATAAAAATACTACTGACATGAGGAAATTATTGATTATCAAAACCATGGTAACTATTCAAGATCCGTATTTTTATCAACAGGTTGTTAAGCTATAAAGTGCAAGTTAATTTACCTCACAAAACTTTGCCCCATATCGTGGTGGTGGCGAGTTACAGAATCGGTAACGAGTTCTAACGCCCCCTATGCAGGTACTCGTGCACTGGGTCCAGGGAGTCCATGGACCCCAACCTCCACTTTCCGATTCTACAAAATTTAAATAAAAATTTCTTATTAAAAACAATGTAACCATTTAATTGGTAGTTGTTAGTTCTATTTCGGATCTTGAAATGCCTAATGTCTAAAGGTGGATTCAGAGAGATAACGATATAAGTCCTAAGGGCAAGGAATAGAGGTGAACTCCAATTTGAAATAGAAAAATGTTTCAGAAACATAGACTCTAAATTTATTCCACTTCAACGCCGCTTTCCGACGAATATATTTCAAAGGTTGTGCCTGCGTGTGGCAAATGATGCGAAAAATTGCAAGCGCATCTTTTCTGAATTTGTAGTCGTAATGACACAGTTTTGGCGAGCATGGAGCACGTTCTCTATAGATGACTAAATCTTGCAAAGAAAATAAAACGATTTCTTCCACCTTTTGTTTTTAAAATTCAATGGGAAAGGAGATTATATGAGCGATTGTTTTTCGTACCTGATACGGGGAATGTTGGCACACAGTCTTCTCGGACATTAGAAACCGCTCCCGTTATGGCTTGACTGACGTACACAAAACAGTATTCCACGTATTTTTCGGTAAAGAGGTCGCAGTTGAAATCCAAACGATGTTCCCCCCTTTTGATCCATTGTTCCGCAATGTATACCAATGACGTCGGCGGATTTATCGAAGTGACATTGGCTCTCAATCTTCCAAACAGCCGAATACGATCTCCTTTCTCCAGGATGCAAGAAGGATATTCGAAAAGGACTCGGATGCCGGTGCTGTGGCTGTCGCAAGGAATAATACTGCGAGCGTGCACGTTGAAGACAAATTGGTCGCTCCAATCAGCCTAAAACATTTCAGGCGCAAGACGAATTTTTGAAAAGAAAACAGTACGGATCTGTTAGAATGCAAATTGTTGTTGCAGTTATTGTACTATCAGAGACAGCAGTGGTGGTAATGGCACAATCTGTATAACTCGAACCAATCCCTAATACTGTAAAAGGTCTTTATTCGCGGGGAGTACGTCCCATAAATATGCCGCGAATACAGAAACGGTGGATATGGAATGGTAATTAATATGGAATCATAGGGGATACGTTTTAAGATTCCAAAATAAAACCGATATGTATCAAAATAAAATCAATGTATTGATAAATTCGCAATTAAAATTAATCGTTATAATCAGCTTCAGGCAAGGATTTAAAAAATTTAGTGATTTTTTCTTGTTTTGAATTTTGAAATTAGTCCACTCGGTTACATCTTTTATATAAGTCGCCTCGGCACGAGCTAATAGTACTCAAAAGCTGCGGATACATCAAGGGGATTCAGTGGTACACGCGCCGTGGAGTAAAAACATGCTTATCGGTTCTAGGTATAATGAGTTTAATATTTGGAACAGACAATTGAAATTTTGTAGTAAGATAGATAAAGCTTCGTTCCAAAGCTTGTCGAAAGTCATTTTTTTAATTTTTTAGTTTCTATTGAAAATACGTGTCCTACAAGAAACGTCAACTTGAAGCACTTGTAAAAGCTTTTAATGACCATATTATTGAAAACCAAAAACCAATAGAAACCCATGTTTTCGGAAAAATTCACATTAGACACGAGCGGCCTATTGCGGTCAATCCCCTTAATAAATACCGTGAATTAGGAACTTTTACTGTAGTTTTCTACTTTTCAAAATCCAACAAGGTTATTGATTGAGAATGCAATTTTACATTCGTAATCTCTGATCATTCGAATTTTTCTCAAAATTCTTTTTTTTTAATTTAAGCCTAAATTTCGTTAGCAAAGTTACCGAAGAATTGCTAATGTTATGAGACAAGCTTATTTGCGATAGCTCCTTAAGATCTGCCTAATTGTGGAGCACAGCGCGTGACAGCGTTCGCGGAACGTTAAGTACCCAATCTTCCGAGAAACTTTCTTCAGAGGGATATTTTCTCGCATTTTCGCGATAATGCTACGAATACATTGTCGCCATGGCCAGGACTTAACGTCAATACACGGCCCCTTGTCGCCTAGAAATGTTAAAGTGATGAACCAAAGGAACCACGCCAGATGGGGAAGTTTCTGTTACAAATATCGGAGAAATTGAGCGAAATGTTTTGGTATTAAAATACAGGGTGGATTCAAATGAAATGATAAAAATGTTACTGGGTAATTAAGAAGGAGCTTTTACCTGGAGGTAAGCAGATATCATAGGAAATGATGGCGTAAGTTGCGAGGGACGAAGGGTGAAAACATAGTGACCTGCCACCCCAAATAATTCGCACCGCAGGACAAGCATATGGTGTTCTGAGAAACCTCTCACCTGTTCTCTGTAAATAGCCTATAAAAAAATGATATCAATTGAATTATGTTTATATTGATGGAACAACTAAAAGTTCAGTAAATGAAGAAATAGCAATGCATCTGACCTTCGAGTGTTCATTACGTATTACCTGAGTTTTGTTGTCTCCTAATGTCTTTTCTCCACATTCAATTAAGGAATGACCACAATAGTACAGTTCTAGCCAAAATTCCGGTACAAAATTCACTTCTTCCTGTACCGGTGAGCACTTAACTTCGGGAAACTCTATAATGGCCCTTACAGGTTTTTGGGGATATGTTTGTACGTATTCAGGAGTTATTTTGAGTTGCGGTGTAGGCCATCGGACGTCCAGCGGTTTGATTACAGTCGGTACCTCTTTTGAATTCTATAAAGTCAAAAATTTTTTGTAATATGCCGTCAGATGTATGACTTGAGTCGATTGGGAACTCTAATAATAGTAAAAAAGAGCCGAATACAGATAACGTCTGCGTCGGTAGTGGACAATAAATAACAGCCCTATCGGCATTCAGTTCAAGTCTGCTATAAATCAAACATTCAGGGAGAGGATTCTTCCCGGAAAAACTGAGCTGGTTCACTGTTTGAATTTAGCAACGATGTGGAATTTGAAATTGCGCCATGAACTTCTACGATAAAATAGAATAACCGAGAGGTTTATAAATTATTAAAAACTTATTTAGTTTTTCAAATATGCTGTTCCTAAATTTGTAGAACAAATAATCGATCGTCATACAAATACTGATGAGTTAGCAAATGTATACGTTAGGTATTTGGAATGGTAATTATTGAGTCAAGCTGTTACCAATTGCTATTTCAAGATTCTAGGTGTGACCAATTAGTCGCTATCGCTTTGTGGATTTACCCCAAATTCCATAATGTGTGTGTGCAGACAAATCAGTATGCAATCGATTTCAATATCAGTGCAGGAAGACAATAACTGTATATGCATGATGTATAGCCATATTGTGCCATCATGTTTTATTAGGTGCTTTGGAGATTTCTTTCTATAGATCAATCAGTCATTATTAAGAATAAAGGATGCATAATATAGGGTTGTTCGGAAAGTCATTTCGTTTTTTCCCGACAGAAGATTTAATTGTATTCTTTTGCACCCAACTTCACATTTAAGCCGTCTAATTTTTATATGCTTTGAGAGCTCATATAGCAAGGCTTGTGTGTGAAAAATTCCAATTAATTCTACGCAGTAGTTTTTGGTTGGTGCCCTTTTAAATATGGAGAGCGATAAGCAGCATTTTCGACATATCTTACTGTTTTACTACAGAAAGGGTAAAAATGCTGTTCAAGCCAGAAAGAAATTGACTGATGTGTATGGAGAAGGTGTGTTGACAGTACGCCAGTGCCAGAACTGGTTCGCTAAATTTCGATCCGGCAATTTTGATGTCGAAGATGCACCACGTTCGGGAAGGCCGGTTGAAGCTGATAAAGACGCGATAAAGGCATTAGTTGATGTGAACCGGCGAATAACAACACGTGAGATCGGATTGAGGTTAAATTTATCAAATTCAACAGTTTATGACCACTTGAAAGGCCTGGGATTATCCTCGAAGCTCGATGTATGGGTTCCCCATGTTCTCACAGAGAGAAATCTGTGTCGCCGCATTGACGTCTGCGATTCGCTTCTCAAACGTCACGAAAATGATCCGTTTTTGAAGCGCATCATCACTGGGGACGAAAAATGGGTTGTATACAACAACGTCAAACGCAAGAGGTCATGGAGCAAAAAAGATGAACCGGCTCAAACCATTTCCAAAGCCGATATTCACCAAAAAAAGGTGATGCTGTCTGTTTGGTGGGATTTTAAAGGAATCGTTTTTTTTGAGCTTTTACCGGATAACACAACGATTAATTCGGAAGTCTACTGTCATCAGCTGGACAAACTGAATGATGCACTTCAACAGAAAAGGTCAGAACTAATCAACAGGAAAGGTGTAGTGTTTCACCAAGACAACGCGAGACCTCACACAAGTTTGGTCACTCGCCAAAAGCTTTTACAGCTTGAATGGGATACAATGCTACACCCACCATATTCTCCAGACCTGGCACCATCGGATTATTATTTGTTCCGGTCACTCCAAAATTTTTTAGACGGTAAAACCTTCACCTCAAATGAGGAGGTCAAAAACCTCCTCGATCAGTTTTTTGCCAGCAAAGACCAAAAATTTTATGAGCGTGGAATTATGCTACTACCAGAAAGATGGCAAAAGGTGTTGGACCAGAACGGTCAATATATAATTTAATAAAGTATTTATTTATTATACGAAAACTGTCTTTCAATTCCACAAAAAAAAAAACGAAATGAACAACCCTATACATAGTGTTTATACCTTGGTGTATGTTTGGTATGAAATATGGCTAGTGGGTAGAAGAAATAGAAAGGAAAAAGGACATTGGAAAGAGAAGAAGAACAAATGGTGCTAAGGAAGTCAATGAGGAAAGGTAGACGTATGGGATGATAGACACCTGAGACATCATGGAGTTATTAGAGATCTATTAGATGCAGAAACAGGAACAAAGGGTTAGGCTGACGATCCTATGTCGAAAGAATCTTAGGGACTATAAAATTTGGGTCACGATTCTTGTTAGCAGCGTTTCATATGTGGAAGGTCACAGAAAACATTTGTCATCATATAAACAAATGAGTGTAAGATCGCCTCTACTAACTGATTTAATTAATTAACTTACAATCACATTCTTTACTGTCCCATTACCCATTCTCCTTGGTGGTTGCGGTTTTAGCGTAACATAATATTGTCCTCCCTTAATGAAGTAGCCACATGCTACTTTGACGGTTGTTTTGTTAAGGGAAAGGGCTCTAGCCTCCGGGTAAACGTTTAGAGAGGTAAGGATTTTTGTCGATTCGCCCTCCAGATGCGAGAGTTCCAGAACAAGCGGGGAGAAGGAGGACGAAATGATTTCAACAACAAAGTCTCCGCCTAATACCACGTGCGAAGATAACATGTGGACGTCGCTTATACCTGGTATAAAACCACCTGTAATAAAAAAAATTTATGGTATACACAATTCCGTATCAAACACTAAAACATTCAGCAATACCGTTTCAATTCACGTTACTGTCAAAAACTTTATGGTCGCCTATAAAATTGAATTTTTATCTGAAACATTTGATTGATTTCTTCGTCAGGTATAAAGTTCGCGAATAGTCGAGTAAAGTCAGAGTTATTATTATGAATGAATTAAAAGAACTCCGAAGTAAGAAAACTAAATTCGAAAGATAAATTGGTTGAACGGTTGAGAGGAGTTTCAAAGTTCGTTAAGTTAAACCTCGGAGTGGAGCATCAAATTTATTACACTAAATGTATAATTGACGTTCAAGTACAGAACCAATTAAATTCTTGAGGTGGGAAATTGGAGAAACGTGTCTATATCTTACAGCGCGTTTAAACTATTTATTAACTATAAAACAGACAATTATTAGACTTGGTTGGATGCGTTATTTATTTGCCGTACTAATGAACGTAGATTCTACTGAAGTATACACGGTATTTAGACATTATTCTATTAATTATTACATCATATAGTAAGCAGGGCAGGTACCTCCCTTCTAAATTGCATTTATTGGATTTATATTACCGTATGTTGGATTCTTAACCCGTCTTTAGTGTATATTATTCCTTTTTTTTATTCTGTATATTCCTCTTTTTTTGGTTTTCTTTTCCCGTGTATTTTCAAAATTTATTAAATCCTTTTTGGAACTCTGGTTTTAGAAAAATGTTGTAAAACTTGATATAATATGAATATAATTTTATATATTAATAATAATAGTAATGAGATCGCTACCAAGAACTTGTTGAGGATTTGTTTAAGGGACTTTGCCAACTGTTTCGTAAATATATACGCATTAGAAATGTATCGTTTGGTACATTGAAAGAGTTATTTGATGGAAATTGAGGTGCCACAAATTGGATTTCCTCCATATTTAGAGGCGCTGAGCGTGAAAATTGGGACAGCGCAGCATTAGAAATTTTACAGCGTGCATTTGAATCGTACCAGCATATTTCCAATATTTGCAAAACCATTTTACATATATTAATGTAGAAAAAAAGTTTTATACATAAATATCACTTCGATAAAATAAATTTCTATACCTACACATAATTTATGTAAGGCATCGTCAGGTTATAGCTACTACCGATTTTAAGAGATCTTGTTTTTCAAAATTCATCACAAGGTCGTCAGTCCTAAGACTGGTTGAACACGCACCACTCTTTCCTATCCTGAACTAATCTTTGCATTTCCCTAAAACTAGAACAACCCATATCCCTAACTATTTGCGAACAGTTATTTAATTTAGGTCTACCTCTACCCCTTCTAACTTCTAATATGTCTCTGACTAGCCTTTCATGCCTGAGAAGGTGTCCTACTAACCTATCTCGCGTATTTCTAATTGACTTCCATAGATTCCTCTGTTCTCCTACTCCTTCTAATACCTCTTCATTTCTACCCTTTTTTATCTACGGTGTCCTCATCATTCGCCTGTAACACCACATTTCGAACGCTTCTAACTTTTTCTTTTCTACCGCGCTCACTGTCCATGTATCGCACCCGTACAGCGTCGTGCTCCAAACATTTTTGAATTTCTAAATTAACCGTTCGCGAGCATAGAACTGACTTCGTTTTATTGAACGCGACTCGACCCTGCGCTATCCTGCTTTATATTCCTACTACTTCTTCCGTCCTGACTTATCTGACTTCCTAGATACCTAAAATCGGCCACTTCTTTCAATTTTTCGTCTCTTATCTTTATATTCGCTCTTTCCAAAAATAATCTAAAGGATTAAATTCGATGCAGTTCTGTCTCAATAAGGGTATACGTGCAAATCAGTTGGTTAAAAATAAACATTTATTATTGAAACAGTAACCTATGTCACATATTAGAGGACCTACATGAAATTAACAAAATAAAAAGATTGTTACTGGACCTAATACGAGGGCCGATTATATGTGCTCTGCTCAAATCGACGACTTTTTTTGATTTAAGGTTTTATAATCTGATGACTTTGGCTTTTATCTCCTCTCCAGGACTACCAAATTACTTCGATCATTTGAAAGGGGCACTCGCGTTAGGTATCGAGGTATAAGAATTTCTGAATGTCCACAAAAGTAAATTACTTTCCCGGAACGGCTTGTAGAATGCAAGTAATCTACGAACTCCAAGTCCAAGACTTTTACTCTGGGGAACGATCTGTATCACGCTGCTTTTTCTACAAGAGCAGAAACAGATAATGATACGGGCTCTTCACGAAATTTATTGGACAAAAGTTCCTTAAGGAAAAAAGAGGAAATGGAGAGGCCGTTCTGTCCCACGCAGACGTAAAGTGTTTTCCGAAAAAGCTGCAATCAACTTTTTTTCCGTAACTTAATGGGCTTCTTCACTTCATTCGGCGCCAACACGAACTTGAAATGAAATGATTAGGAACATTTAAAATAGTAAAAGAGTTAACAAAAAGACACTTTACATTTTGCCTATTTCCTTTGCAACAAATGCGCATTTCATTTCGAAAATCAAATTTCGTTTTGCGGACAGAAAAAAAAATAAATAAAGCACGGGGTTAATTAAAAAAAAGTGGATGCAAAATTCACCAGTGGTGTACTATACATACATACATATATTAACTTTTTGTGAGATATTGCGATCCGCAGCGAGCATTTCGTTTGTAAAAGCTCTCCGTACTGCAGGCAGTCGCACGTCATCAAAGCTTGGATATTATGAAGCCCAAGCGGTTTGGATTTAGCACCTTTGTTCATCTCTTTTTTTGTTATTTACAAACTGGGCTTTCTATAGCGTGTAAAGTCATGTCCGGAAATGACTATCAACTTGCGCTCGTCTATCTCCAAAATAATGACTGAAGTATGAAATATTATTCTGAAAATTCGTTTCTGAATTTTTTTACCCACTACACCCATGAGGGAAAAATTGTTGCTGTTGTCACACCTCCGCCGGGAATCGAACCCGGGGCCTTTGGCTTTACGCACCAATGCTCTGACCAACTAAGCTACGAGAGGTGACAACAGCAACCACGACCAACCGACCTACAAAGTTAACGATCCGTCGAACTAATGTAACTATATACTGAATATACCATGATTAAACATACATATAATTTAGACAACAGCAACAATTTTTCCCTCATTAATTTGAGGTAGTGTGTAGTGGGTAAAAAAATTCAGAAATGAATTTTCAGAGTAATATTTATTATTAAACTAAATCACTTCTAAAAGATGTCTAAATTATATGTATGTAAAGG